AGAAAAGGTCAACTCATATTATATCATATGAAGGGTTGAATTTTGATTAGTTGCATGATGCCTCACCACAAGTAGCAAACTAAGATCTATTTAATCACTCACGGGATGGTTTTAGGAGCCGTATACAAGTTGATATATAGTCACTTATGGCATTTTGGAAAATAAAAGTTTTTTCATGACCATATATAAACTTAAGTCGTGGGCTTTATTTTCACGAAATAACAATGGTGCAACTATATTGTCAACGCATTGACATTTTAAGATTTTTCTTCTAATTATTTATGTTAAAAAGGTGAACTTGTATATTTATATTTGTCATAACAATATGCATGGGTACCAAATATTCAAAAATACTTTAGGCAATTGTTTTGTGGTGCCTTCAAAACTATTTTTCCTTAACTCTTATTTTCTACCCAACTCTTATATATTTACATAAATCATAAATACTATATATGTATATACATAATATTAAATATATAAAGAACCTCAAGAACGCATATCAATTGATTAAGCCACAAATATCAGTACCAATTTACAGCTGATCATCAAGTGGTCCATTTAATTAAACAAATGTGTAGATTCCCCATGATCTCAAGATTAATTTGTACAAAAACATATCATTGGTGTGTGTAAGAACCCTAGTTAAATAGCATTAACCTTTGATAAATTAAAAAAGAAAAAAGAAAAAAGAAAAAAACATGTAACCTTTACCAATATTATAAATACATGCAATTGTCCCCCTCATTTGATCATTCATATTAACCTTCTACACACACTATATTGTGATTATTATTTTTATTATTATGATGGGTACATTTTTTTTGTATGTAATGTTATATTTATTGATGTTTTGGAGTTGGAAAATAGTGCATTGGTTGTGGATTAGACCTAAATACATGGAAAAATGTTTGAGGGCTCAGGGGTTCAAGGGGAACCCTTATAGGTTCCTCCATGGCGACACGAAGGAAATGGCTGACTTAATTAGGGTTGCAAAATCGAAACCCATCAAATTATCGGACGATATAGTTCCCAGAGTTTTGCCGTTGCATCACCATATCGTCAAAACGTACGGTATGTATTTACTCGGCTGTTTATTAATTTCGAGCTTTGTTCAACAACACATAAAAGTACGTATGTACTTTATTTTGTTGTTTATTGGTTTCGAGCTATGTTCAACAACATATAAGAATACGTATGTACGTACGTTTCTCCTGATATGCAAGTTGTTTATAATGGTGATAGATATTTGAAGTTCGAATATTTTTCGAGTTATTATTTTTATATGTATAATCTTCACAATAAATATATATATGTGCGTTATTNATACATTAGTTTTTCCATTTTCTGATTTTGTAACATTTTTGTTGTAGTAATATATAAAATTATAAGGTAACATAATGATGTCTAGCGTAATAGTTGTAGAACCGTAAAATTTAAAATTAATTACAAGCATCACAATCCAATTGCTTTCAAAGAGCATATTCTTATGTGACACTATACAAACACGTTGCAATGAGTCAAACTCTGATTTCAAATAAATATATGTGTAAGAGTGCCATATATGAGACAGGTCTAAGTAGGGACATATTTTTTTTTAATAATTATAGTCAATTTTAAGTTAGATGTCAAACTTTATACTTTATAAACAACTGACTTAACTATTTAAACAATTTTAAATATTATTTTTATCTAAAAAATTATATAACTGATAAAACCTTGTTAAGACGCCTCACATCAACATTTGCAAATAAGATCTTCTAAGTAAGACCACCAGCTTGATTGAGTCCATTGAAAATTTGGACCCATACTCAGTGCAATTTTTATAAAAATAATAAAGAAGTATCAGAAATTTTTATATAAAATGGAAAAAAAAAAAATGTTAATACAATATAAACAACAATATTCTCCATACTTAGAACCAAAATGGTCCACTCTACTATAGCTAGTCTAACTTTTAGGATACCCCTTGAAAATTGTCTAACCTGCTTTTTGATTAGAGAATAACCCTAATTAGTTGGCTATATGTTCAGACATAAAATAATATATATATCTATATATGTTCAGACATAAAATACCTCAACCTATTATATAATGAGCAACAATAATTAACCTACTTTTTTTTCCTATAACATAGTATGCATGTAGGTATTAAATCTTATTTATATTAATATAAACGAGCTAGCATGTTAATTGGCTAATTTATAGGCTAAACCTAACAGACTCAGACGACAAACAGAGTGTATCTAATCCTATTTTTTTTCTTGGCTAAACAAACCGATATTTTTTTTGGGCTTTGGCTGTATACAGGAAAAGCTTCATACATATGGATTGGGCCAGTTGCGAGATTAATAATCTTGGACCCACAACTAATCAAAGAAATCCTGAACAATAATGGCATCTTCAAAAAGCCCATCCCAAATCCGTTAGCTAAATTCCTCGTGTCCGGATTATCGGGTTATGAGGATGAAAAATGGGCCAAGCATAGGAAAATCATTAATCCAGCTTTCTATCTCGAGAATCTCAAGGTGAGAGAATATGTGTTTTGACATAAAAAAAAAAAAATATATTTTATCAAATTATCCTATTTTTTTTAAAAAGAATTATCTAAGAAAATTGAAGCATATATAAACTCTAATATTAATTCATATCATAAATAGACATTTTTTTTAAAGAAATTACGGACAGTTAGTTCGAACGAACAATTACAGAAGATGGTGCCGGCTATGCGCGAAAGCTGCATGAAAATGATAAAAGATTGGGAAAAGAGAATAATGGGAGAAGAAAATGAGAGGGTAGAAATGGATGTGGGCCCACATTTGTCGGGTTTGGGCTGCGATCTTATGCTCCGAACCGCTTTCGGAGGGTCGGATGAAGAAGGGTTGAGGATTTTCCATCTTCAGAAGGAGCAAGCTGAGCTCACCCGTCAGGTTTTGCAGTCCGTTTACATTCCTGGATGGAGGTAAAATTAATTATCTAACAATCTTACAATTTATTTATATATTATATCTAATTAAATATATGATCCAAGGAGATTGAATAAAATGTATATTTGACAACAGTATCGAATTGTAAATTGTGATTTAGTATAAATCACAATAAAATTACATTTATATTAATTAAAATAGATTCAGTATAAATGTCATATCACTACTACCAAATAAATAAAAAAAAAATTATTTCCACATATAAAAAGTTATTTCAAAGTTTACCTAATGACCATCTTTTACATAAATATTCCCATCAAAATTTATTACTCCAAAAAATTAGCTTTCTCATGATAATTTTGTCACAATATAATCATTTCAATGCGTACTATATTGAAAAAAAAATAAAAAATTAGAATGAATTAACCAAACAAAATAAAATTAATTGAACTCCAGGTTTGTGCCAACCAAGAGAAACAGGAGGCTAAAGGAAATCAACACCCTTTTATGCACCTCAGTGAAAAACATCATCAAACAAAGAGAAAAAAGAGAACAATCAGAAACTAATGACTTGCTGGGCCTTCTTTTAAAATCCAACAAGAAGCAAATCCAAGAAAATGGGAAATCACATGGTATTACCATTGATGAAGTTGTTGAAGAATGCAAGAATTTCTATCTATCAGGCCATGAAAGTATCTCAAACCTTTTGCTTTGGACAATGCTTATGTTGGCCATTCACCAAGACTGGCAAGAACGCGCACGAGAAGAGGTTTTTCGGGTTTTCGGACATGATGAGCCTGATTTTGAAGGATTGAGTCGACTCAAAATAGTAAGATCTAATCGTACATTTTACGGATTTTTCTTTTCCTAGTGTTCGTTAATTTATGTGTATATATAACTTGATAATTTGATGTTTTGATCATAGCTAGGTTTTACTTGAAAAAGGTGTATAATATGTCTAGTTATAAGTTGGTGCATAGAAATTTTGAGATTTAAAAAATTTCCTTCTAACTAATGAAAATGGAACAAAACGTGTGCAAAAATTGGTCACTAACTAATGATAAAAAATTGTGAATAAAATAAACATCATTAACTCACGTGTTCAAACAGAAAGTTCGCGGGTTGATTAATTGATATGGACCGTTTCTAATTCTACGATCTTATAAGTTGTTTGGCGAAATTTGGCATATACTTTGCTACTTCTATAATTCCAAA